GAACGGACGGGGGAGGGGGCGGGTACAGCTGGCTCTGCCTCTAGATAGGCAGAGCCAGCTGTCACTCACGCAGCTGGGCGGATCCCGTCATCTAAGTCGGGATCCGCTCCAGGTGCGGCGTCTCAGTATACCGCGAGCTGTAGCTCGCGGTATACTGAGCTTAGGGTAACGGGAGGACGCTAGTTTGTGTCCTCCCGTTACCCTAAGGAGAACTATGGGGAAAAACACTGACCCCATAGTTCTCCTTTAAGGTGCGGTCCAGTGCGTTTGCATGCGTTTTTGATGCGTTCCACTGCATTCCAGACCAGAAAAAAAAGGTGACATGCAGTATTTTTTTTGGTCTGGACTGCACTGGTGTGGACAGGGGGCCAGAAATAGCATAGGGATAAATTAGGATGCATTTTGGGCCCGGAAACAATCTGGTCTGGAGATGATCTGGATGTGGTGTGAACGGGCCCTAAGCTGTGTCTATCTCCACAAACACAGCAAGGCAATCCACTCCCCTCCCCCCTGTTCTCCACCATCCTCCTCCTATCCAAGCTAGTAGATGGACAGCTGCTGGAGACTGCTATGTCCCTTGTGATCTTGTACTGGACAGGAAGTTTAGGGAAGTGGAGCCGAGAGAGATGGAGTTGTTTTGAAATATGATGGGCAATGTATATTTGTTTGATCTGGAATCATTATTGAAAAAAAGTTTAAGAGTTTCATACTACTTTAACCTCTTGCCGTCCGCCCGTAGTAAAAAAACGGACGGACGGCACTGCAGCATCTGCGGGTTGCCGTCTCCAGACGGCAATTTTTTTCTGCTCGCGCGCGCCCCCTAGCGGGCACAACTCCGTCCCCCGTACCTCCCATGCTGCTATAAGGACTTACCTTAAGAGATGCTTCTTGATCTGATCATCTTCCTTCCAGTCGTTTTCAGTAGTCCCTCCAGCGCTGGTACTGGTCTCTGATCCAGCGCAGACTGCTGCTTCTTCCTGACCCATGGAGTCTGTCTAACGTGCACTCTCCCGCCTGCATGCATTGGCTTTCACTGTAGCTCTCCTCCTTTCCCCTCCAGTGATATGGACTGTGTTGTGAACAGGACGCATAGAAAACAATTGTTTGCCCTGGAGTTGAGCCTTCGTTGATCTGTGAATATAGCGTGCTCACAGTGTGCAGTGAAATCAGAGGATTACATTTCAGTACAGCAGAGGAGCCTGCACAACTGCAAGACTGAGGGTATGGTGGAGTTCGCCTTTAACCCATAGTCCGGAGGTGCACTGATCACCATTTTAAAAGGAGAACTATGAGGTGAGTGCTATTCACTCACCTCATAATTCTAGCCAACCTGTGACAATGAAACTGTCACAGGTCAGCTCAGTAGATCGGGGAGTGAACATATACCGGCGTTCGCTCACCTCTCGATCCTTTCACGGCTCTCTGCCATGACAGGGGAGGGGCTGGATTTCCCCCTCCCCGCTAGCGCTGACTGGCGGATCGGATGGGGCGGGTACAGCTGGCTCTGCCTCTAAATAGGCAGAGCCAGCTTTCACTCACGCAACTGGGCGGATCTCGACATCAATGTCGGGATCCGCTACGGCATCTCAGTATACCGTGAGCTGTGGCTCGCGGTATACTGAGCTTAGGGTAACGGGAGGACGCTAGTTTGTGTCCTCCCGTTACCCTAAGGAGAACTATGGGGAAAAGCCCTGACCCCATAATTCTCCTTTAACGACTGGTTACCTGAAGCTGCCCTTTTTGCTGCCACCACCCCTCTCGCTGTATTGGAGACAAGAGGCAGCAGTCACAGCACAGCAGGTATTAGCTCATTCTCAAACTGGGGGAGGGGGCAACTTTAAGGTTTTGAAACTGCCCAATGTTATGCAAATGTTACAAACAACATGTTTATGGGTTTACAAGACCTTAGAAATTAGGCCATATAAATGGAAACATCCAGAAGCAGGTCAGATGGTATTTGGTATGCATTAGGTGCAGCTCCGATCTTCTGCACTCCATGTCACACAGCACATATTGGACTGAACACTACATGAGACTTGGCTACCTTCCACACAGAAGTTCTCCGGAGATCTGTGAAATCTTGCCCATAGATGGCCTCCAGCACCTGCAGTTCGTTCTCCTGTCTGTAGGAGTGAGTTTCTTCTGGCTGCAGGGGGCGCGTCTGCTCCCCGTGACCGGAGAGGGCCCCCAGGCCGGGAGTATCACTGGGAGTCGTTACATTTCCCCGGTTGCCTGCCATACTACATTGGAGGCATCCCGAGCCCCTGCCAGCCACCCGGACATCAGTACACGTTGACCACCCCCACCTACTGTGCTGGTTGGTACAGCCCATAGTGCGTGAGCTGCGGGTCGCCATGATTGTTGAGGGCAACCACGTTGAAATCATGCGCGCGTAACTTTATATTGGTGCCAGATGGTGTATCAGTCGTATCAATACACTAAAGTTATGGCCGCCATATTTAGTGTGGGAACTGACCGCGTGGATTTTTTTAAATGTGATCAAGGCTGCGCTTCTGCGTTGTTTCCTGTTAAAAACGTTCATATGGAAGACTTTTACATTAATAATATTTTTTTAGCAATGTATCCTAAAAGTATTAACCACTTGCTGACCACGGTGTTTACACCCCCTTCCTGGCCGGGCCATTTTTCAGTATTCAGCGCTGCGGTACTTTGACTAACATTTATTCCGTCATGCAACGCTGTACTGAAATGAATTTTATACAATTTTTTGGGGATAAAGCTTTCTTTTGGTGGTATTTAATCACCACTGGGTTGTTTTTTTTACTATATAATGAAAAAAAACTGTTTCCCCTTTATTATGTAAGGAAACATTTATTATTACCCAATTTTTTGGTAAAATATAAAAGATGGGGTCACGTCTGGTAAATAGACACCAAACATGTGAAGCCTTAAAATTGCGTGCGCCCGCGAAATGGCAAAAAACGACCATACCCAAAATTGGCCATAGGCGACGCTTTAAAAGATTTTACCAGTTTAGTGTTATCAGTGATCGATGGCCCTAGAATTATTGCTCTCACTGCGACGTTTGCGGTGATATGTAACAAGTGTTGCGTAATTCGTACAATCGTTGTTTTTATGTGTAAGCGCACCTAATGCATTTTTGTGCATCTATGTGGGGATGGGGGACTTTAAAAACATTTTGTGGGGGACAACATCACTTCCTGAGACTTCAGAGACTGGGGAGGAGAGCGGAGGGAGCTCGGGTACTGAGCTCCCTCCGTTCTCAGTGCACGGAGACACATCACCCATCCAGGATCGCGGGGACAGCGGCGGCGGGGATGGCGACCACGAGGAGAGGTAAGGAGGGGGGGCGCACAGATACATGCAGCATACAAGAGATCGGGCGTCTTTACAGATGCCAGACCGCTTGTATGTAAGCGGCCATCGCTGGCTGTTTAAAATTCTAGCGGTTTCTCGCTCATGCGCGTTCCTCTAACTAAGGTTCCAGTGACTGGTGTCACCTGCAACAAGAGCAAAACAAACGACAAACGCACTCAACAATTTGTTACCAGTTGTACAGTAAGGTGCACACGAAATGGGCTTTGAACAGTAGAACAGTAGAAAGGCATCATGGCACACTCACAAACTAGCAT